TTTGTTCGTCCGTCCGTCCGTCCACAATTTGTGGACACTCTACAGGTCACTATGTTTATACACCCACATTTTCACGTGGACGTATATTGTCGTCGCCCCGGTCCGTCAGGACGTCTGTCCACAATTGTTTCTGGACACTCTACAGGTCACAATTCAACGAAACTTGAAATATGGCTTTATCTACCTAAGATCTCGATTCCTTTCGATATTGGCATGTATTGGACCGTAACTTTATGGATTATGGCCCCTGATTGTACGTAAAATCGTGTTTTTAGCTTAAGTGGACCCTCTAGAGGTCACAATTTTTATCCGATTTTGTTGAAACTTGAAATGTAAGTTTATAACCCAAAGATCTTGGTCCCTTTTGATATTCGTGCATATCGGATCGTAAATTCCTGAATTATGGCCCCTGTTACATAATGACAGATGTTATAGACGCTTCTACCATCTTGACACGTGAAAGGCATTTTAAACCTGTCTACTATCGACGCCCCTGGAGGTCTTGGTAGCATTCCTTATGTCATTATGTAACCTTAACTTGTTGTTGGCATGTTTTATTTAAACTTTCTTTGTCGGATAAGGATGTATTTGAATGTTAGACCTGATATGATACATACGCCAGGTGTCTAATAAGATCCTAAGCCTTGAAGGGTTTATAAACCCAGAATGGAAACGGCATAATTAGTGAGGTCCAGACGAGGTCAGAGCGGAGGCCATGGGCGCCTAGGCACGGGACGAGACGGAACGAGGGAGTTGGCACATTTGTGCCAAGCTAGGACATGGCTCCCTCAATACGAGTTAGTTCTGGGTGTCTTTAACATTACGATGTTTGTAACTGATATGTTAGAAGCAGAGAATAAAAGTATTATAAGATATTAAACTAGTCTTGTCATCTGAACCTGATATAAAGACCCAATACTGTAACACCCCTCGTTTTTAGCTTGTGGTCCTTGTAGAAGTCACAATTTTTATCCGATTTAAATGAAAAAACATGTGAATATATATCACCATTACACACTAACATCTTGGTTTCTTTTGATAATCACGCATATCTGAACGTAGCTTCCTGAATTATGGCTCCTGATTGTTCGAAAAATCACATATTTAGCTTGCACAATTTTTTTTTCCGATTTTAAAAAACGTTTAAATATATCACCATTCCACCATAAGGAAGGTTGACCTGGAATTTCGGGAAAATCGAAATGAAACTGACGCTCTTTGTACGCAAATTGTGTAAAAGTATGCAATATGAAGGTTGTGGACCCTCTAGAGGTCACAATTTTTATTATACGCCCACATTGTGGACGCTCTAGAGGCTAAAGTTAATATCCGATTGACTTTAAATTTATATACAGTGTTTAAGCTATTGATTTTCAGCAATTTCTGATAATTACTGCCAGAGTTATGGCCCTTGATCACTTCAAAAAATCTTGTGGCCACTCTAGAGGCCAAAGTTAATATCCGATTGACTTTCAATTTACACACAGTGTTTAAGGTCATGAGATGAAGAAGCCTATTGATTTTCAGCGATTTCTGATAATTACTGTCAGAGTTATGGCCCTTGATCACTTTGAAAAATCTTGTGGACGCTCTATAGAGGCTAAAGTTAATATCCGATTGACTTTAAATTTATACACAGCGTTTAAGGTCATGAGACAAAGAAGCCTATTGATTTTCAGCGATTTCTGATAATTACTGTCAGAGTTATGGCCCTTGATCACTTAAATCGGATAAAAATTATGACTTCTATAGGGTCCACAAGCTAAAAACGCGATTTTTTGTATAATCAGGGGCCATAATTCAGGAATTTATGGTTCGATATGCGCGAATATCGAAAGGAATCGAGGTCTTTGGGTTATAAACTTACATTTCAAGTTTCAACAAAATGGGATAAAAATTGTGACCTCTATAGGTTCCACAAGCTAAAAACGTGATTTTTCATACAAACAGGGACCATAATCCATGAAGTCTCCATCCGATACATGCCAATATCGAAAGCGCCTTAGAAACTGTTTTCTTCAGTATTAACGCGCTTTATAAATGACGATATTATTATTATTACGGACGGGCGGGTGGGCGACGACAATATACGACCACATTTCAATGTGGGCGTATAAAAATCGAGACCTCTATAGGGTCCACAACCTTGATATACCATATTTTTACACAATTTGAGAAAGAAGGGCAGCCATTTTGTCCGTCAGTGTTGGACCGATATTCACGAAATTTGAACTCAGCCGTCCTTTGGGTGTATTGGTGATATAACAATACGGTTTTTCAAATCGGATAAAAATAGTGACCTCTATAGGGTCCACAAGCTAAAAATGCGATTTTTCGCACAATCAGGGGCCATAATTCAGAAAGTTACGGTCCGATATGCGTGAATATCAAAAGGAACCAAGATCTTTGGGTTATAAACTTACATTTCAAGTTTCATCAAAAAAGGATTAAAATTGTGACCTCTATAGGGTCCACAAGCTAAAACCCTGATTTTTCGTACAATCAGGGGCCATAATTCAGGAAGTTACCTTCCGATATGTGCGAATATCGAAAGGAACCAAGATCTTTGGGTTATAAAGAGAGAGAGAGAAATGAGGTTTAACGTCCACTCGAGAAAACTAGGTCATTTAGGGACTAACATGGTTTAATTTTATTTCAATAATTCGCTTGCACATAGGGGTCTTTAGCAGTGGGAGGAAACCGGAGGACCCGGAGAAAACCCACGAGGTTGGACATGTGACCCTACTCCTTATCACGTACAACCGGGGATTCGAAACCATGCCAGTCAACTCAATGACAGACTTTATGATACAGCGCGCGCACGCTAACCATTCAGCCATCCAACCCCCACTTTGGGTTATAAACTTACATTTCAAGTTTCAACAAAATTGGATAACCACACATGGATAGAGAACAAGCTAACAAGAAAGTGATTTTTCCTACAATCAAGGGCCATAATTCAGGAAATTACAATTCGATATGCGTGAATATCGACAGAAACCGAGATCCTTAGGGTGTAACGGTGATATAATAAAACGTTTTTTTAAATCTGATAAAAATCATAACCTCTATAGGGTCCACAAGCTAAAAACGCGATTTTTCTTACAATCAGAGGCCATAATTCAGGAAGTTAAGGTCCAGTATGCGCGAATATTGAAAGGAACCAAAATCTTTGGGTTATAAACTTACATTTCAAGTTTCAACAAAATCGGATAAAAATTGTGACCTCTATAGGGTCCACAACCTTGATATACCATATTTTTATGCTATTTGAGAACGAACGGTGGCCATTTTGTCTGTCAATTTTGGGCCGATTTTCACGAAATTCGAACTCAGCCGTCCTTAGGGTGTAACGGTGATATAATAATACGTTTTTTTAAATCGGATAAAAATTATAACCTCTATAGGGTCCACAAGCTAAAAACGCGATTTTTCGTACAATCAAGGGCCATAATTGAGAACGAACGGTGGCCATTTTGTCTGTCAATTTTGGGCCGATTTTCACGAAATTCGAACTCAGCCGTCCTTAGGGTGTAACGGTGATATAATAATACGTTTTTTTAAATCGGATAAAAATTATAACCTCTATAGGGTCCACAAGCTAAAAACGCGATTTATCGTACAATCAAGGGCCATAATTCAGGAAGTTACGGTCCGATATGCGCAAATATTGAAAGGAACCAAGATCTTTGGGTTATAAACTTACATTTCAAGTTTCAACAAAATCGGATAAAAATTGTAACCTCTATAGTGTCCACAACCTTGATATACCATACTTTTACGCTATTTGAGAACAAACGGCGGCCATTTTGTCAATTTTGGGCCGATTTTCACGAAATTCGAACTCAGCCAGCCTTAGGGTGTAACGGTGATATAATAATTTACGTTTTTTTAAATCTGATAAAAATTATGACCTCTATAGGGTCCACAAGCTAAAAACGCGATTTTTGGTACAATCAGGGGCCATAATTCAGGAAGTTACGGTCCGATATGCGCGAATATCTAAAGGAACCGAGATCTTTGGATCATCAACATAGATTTCAAGTTTCAAGAAAATCGGATAAAAATTGTGACCTCTATAGTGTCCACAACCTTGATATACCATATTTTTACGCTATTTGAGAACGAATGGCGGCCATTTTGTCTGTCAATTTCAGGCCGATTTCCACAAAATGCAAACTCAGACGTCCTTGGGGAGTAACGGTGATATAATTGAACGTTTTTTTAAATCGGATAAAAATTATGACCTCTATCTAAAAACACGATTTTTGGTACAATCAGGGTCCATAATTCAGGAAGTTACGGTCCGATATGCACGAATATCGAAAGGAACCAAGATCTTTGGATTATCAACTTAGATTTCAAGATTCAACAAAATCGGATAAAAATTGTGACCTCTATAGTGTCCACAACATTGATATACCATATTTTTACGCTATTTGAGAATGAACGGCGGCCATTTTGTCTGTCAATTTCGGGCCGATTTTCACGAAATTCGAACTCAACCATCCTTAGGGAGTAACGGTGACATAATAGAACGGTTTTTTAAATCGGATAAAAATTATGACCTCTATAGGGTCTACAAGCTAAAAACACGATTTTTGGTACAATCAGGGGCCATAATTCAGGAAGTTACGTTCCGATATGCGCGAATATTGAAAGGAACCAAGATCTTTGGGTTATAAGCATACATTTCAAGTTTAAACCAAATCGGATAAAAATTGTGATCTCTACAGTGTTCACAAGCTAAAAACGTGATTTTTCGTACAATCAGGGGCCATAATCCATGAAGTTACAGTCCGATACATGCCAACATCGAAAGGAACCGAGATCTTAGGGCGATAAACCTATATTTTAAGTTTCATTGCAATCGGATAAAAATTGTAGGAGATAAACCTATATTTCAAGTTTCGTTGAAATCAGATAAAAATTGTCCGGACATCTAGACGGACAGGGGTGACAACAATATACATCTAGGCGTATAAAAATGTGGACGTATAAAAATGGATAATCGAGACTTTATTATCATAGCAATGGTACTTGACAATCAAGACTGTTTCAAAAATTCAAACACACATAGCTTTGCTCAGAATAAAGTAATTTTACTGAGATTTGCAATTTATCACCCAATAATACATTCTACAGTAGATATCACTTTTGTGATAAATTTCATAATCTACTGAGATATCCCTTTACATGAATTTGATTGTTCAATCAAAAAGGAACTACTTTTTTTTATTTTCAAAAAACAGTTCATTTTTTATTAAAAGTAACTATTTTTATTTAATTGGCCTTGATGGAGACACTGGGTCAATATAAAGGACTTTGCAATGGTTGAATTGCTGTCAAAAAATGATGTATCACTATGCCATAATGTAATCAGGTTCAGTAAAAGTGAAATCTATAGCAAAGAATTATATTTATTTATTTGTGCATATAAGAAGGCATTGGGTGATAAATAAAATAAATTTTTTTTTTTACTTTATCGACTTGTGTTGATATTTTTTGATATCAAAAAAAGACTCGTAGGAGATTCTCTATATATTGATTTTTCATTATCTAATTTTAAACTAATATAGCAAGAACGGTCAGCTCTTAATCTAAATCTTACATAATGACATAATCAAATAGTTATTCGAAAGAAATATCGCCACCGTAGATGGCCATTATCAACATAATGCTGAATCCAGAGAGCAGTCCTACATTTTGCAGTAGAAATATTTGAAAGGTTCCGTATCGTTGAGCTTCCTCCGACTCAGCTGCACTGTTCATTTCTGGCATCTAGGAAGAAAATAAGTATAAGATAGCCATACAAAGCGTGAATACGTCCCAAACAGCAGCTTAGTCTCAAACTGCAGCTTATCCGACAGGAAAACTTGGATGTTGAGCAAATTTGATAAGAATTTAGGATCTCTAGAGTTCATCCTCTTATGTCCCCATTGCTTCCAACCAAGTTTTAATTTAAACAAGCCAACAGTGAGGCTGATGTCCCCCGCCGAAATCCCCAAATAAATAGATGACACAAATTAATTAATCGCACATCTATTTTTTTCCAAAGTATCAAGCAATCAAACTGATTATCAACTATTTTTCCTGATAATTTTCTTTGAGGGGAGTCAAATTAGACATTGAGGAGAGCTATAAAAAGCGCACCTCGACTGACATCCAGGCGTGTCCAGGAGAGCGATCGCATTTCTTTTACGTGAAGGCCTGTGATTTGCTCTTTTTTTTTGAGAAATGAAATTTTACTGATTATAACAACTCTTCTAGAAGAAAACAGAACCAAACCAAAAATAACCCAAGCGAACAGTGATGCTGATGTCCCCGTCGAAATCCCAAAATAAATAGAAGACACATATTAATTAATCACACATTTAGGTTTTTTTTCAAAAGTATCAAGCAATCAAACTGATTATCAACTATACACAAAGTTTCATCACTCTCTGTCAGATAGAATCAAAGTTATCTTGTTCCAAAGCAGGAAATTGCTTATCTCTGCTTAGCTTTAGCTCAATATGTTAATCATTGAACTCAGTCAAGACGAACATCTACATCAAGTTTAAACATTCTACCTCAATTAGAAGCAGAGTTGTTATGTTCCAAAGTCTTGACCAATCAAAATGCTTATTGCTCGTTAGCCTAAGCAGAAAATTCTCATCATCGAACTTAGTCAAGGTATTGATGTAATGAAACTATACACCAAGTTTCATCACTCTCACTTAATTAGAACTAAAGTTATCGTGTTCCAAAGCATCAACCAATCAAATTACTTATCTCTGCTTACCCTAAGCAGAAAATGCTGATCTTCGCACTCCATCAAGGCATTGACCTAATAAACCCCTACACCAAGTTTGAACATTCAAGCTTAATTAAAAGGATAGTTATTGTGTTCCAAAGTCTCAGCCAATCAAATTGCTTATCGCTCTGCTTAGCCTGAGCAGAAAATGCTCATCATCGAACTTAGTCAAGGTATTGATGTAATGAAACTATACACCAAGTTTCATCTCTCTCACTTAATTAGAACTAATGTTATCATGTCCCAAAGCATCAACCGATCAAATTGCTTATCTCTGCTTACCCTAAGCCGAAAACGCTCATCTTCGAACTCCATCAAGGCATTGACCTAATAAACACCTACACCAAGTTTGAACATTCTAGGTCAATTAGAAGGAGAGTTATTGTGTCCCAAAAAGTGTGACGGACAGACAGACGGACGAACCCATTTTAATAGTCCCCTGCTTTCTTCGAAAGGCGGGGGACAAAAAAAAAATGTTAAAATCTATAGCCTATAATCGGGTTCACCGTTTCCGGCAAAGGAGGGATAACTTAGGAAAGGCAGGCTGTGGATTATGAATATGGATAGGGATCGATGACCCCAATGCTTCAAGCTAAATATGAAAAAGATCCATTACAAACTTTAGCCTTTATAGTCAAATTGATTTTTCGTACAATCAGGGGCCATAATTCAGGAAGTAACGGTCCGATATGCGCAAAGATAGAAAGGAACCGAGATCTTTGGGTTATAAACTTACATTTCAAGTTTCAACAAAATCGGATAAAAATTGTGACCTCTATAGGGTCCACAACCTTGATATACCATATTTTTAAGCTATACTATTCAAAATAGGTAGGGGATATTTGATTTTTAAGTGTTATTAAAGTCACCTAATGAAACTGACGAAGAAACAAATGACAAAATGAAATGAAGTTCACATTCATCGATTTATTCCAAATGATCGTTAGACTAAGTAAGGCACAGACTGACCATTATAAGGGTAAAATGATACACGGGGTGAAACAGCAAAGTTACCACAGCATCACAACCAAGTCAGTAACGGGTAAATCCTCCTCTGTTTGCCAAACAAGCATTGATCCGACGTGGCATACTCCTAATGAGACGTCTAAGGTCATTTTGGTCCAGATTGTCCCATTCCTGTTGCAACGCAGCAGCAAGTTCTTGGACATTGGCAGGACGTTGTTGACGTTGACGTAACCTCTGTCCAAGCATGTCCCAGACATGCTCGATGGGGGAGAGGTCGGGACTCAGTGCTGGCCAAGGTAATGTGGTGATGTTCTGTTGTTGGAGGTAACCTGTAACGATCCTGGCCATGTGACATCTTGCGTTGTCATCCTGGAAGATGAAACGGCGGCCATGACGTCGTGCGAACGGCACAACATGGACTGCCAAGATGTTGTCCCGGTAGTACTGGCCTGTAACACGCCCTGCAACAACATGTAAAGCCGTTCTTCCAGCAACAGTGATGCCTCCCCACACCATAACAGAACCACCCCCAAATCGATCATGTCTGATGACATTAACGTCTTGGAAGCGCTCGTTTCGACGACGCCACACCCTCCTACGTCTGTCCAAAAAATCAACAGTGAACCTTGACTCATCTGAAAACATCACATTGCTCCAGCGTCGATTATCCCAGTGTTGACGATCCCTACACCAATGACATCTTGCCTGAATGTGATGATCTCTCAAACAAGGGATCACGCGAGGACGCCGGGCGCGAAGGTGACCCCTATGCAGTCGATTCCGAATCGTCTGGCCACTCACTCTCACGCCAGTGTCTGTTTGAAGACGAGCGCTGATCTGATTTGCTGTGATGACACGATTTCTCAAGGCCAAGGTACGGATAAATCGATCCTGGGCTTGAGTTGTCGCCCTTGGTCGACCTGAGCGTGGTCTGTCCTGTACAGATTGTGTATCACGGTATCTGGACCATAGCCTGCTTATGACAGACTGAGAAACATTCATCGTCCGCGCCACAACCGCCTGTGTTGTGCCGATCTGTAGCATGCCAAGGGCACGTAACCTTTCATTTTGGGTAAGCCGACGCATATCAAAATTTGTTTTCTGGTCACTAAAACAATTAAACTGATGTTTCCACCCTGGAATTCAATGCCACAATGACTGTAACATTCAAAGTCAGAGTCGTGCAAATCTTGGGTTGGACCCCCATGATGATCCCAAGCATCACCTGCATTCCATGCGGTAGCTATTGGTGCGTTTGGGCGTCACATGTAACTGGAAATGTTTCTTCTGTTAGGTTCTATAGTGACTTTTTTCGTAGTCATTTGCATATTTTAGTATTATGCCCCCAAAATCAAATATCCCCTACTTTTTTTGAATAGTATATTTAAGAACGAAGGGCGGCCATTTTGTCTGTCAGTTTTGGGCAGATTTTCACGAAATTCGAACTCAGCCGTCCTTAGGGTGTAACGGTGATAAAATAATATGTTTTTTTTAAATCGGATAAAAATCATGACCTCTATGGGGCCCACAAGCTAAAATCGCAATTTTTTGTACAATCAGGGGCCATAACTCAGAAAGTTACGTTCCAATATGCGTGAATATCAGAAGGAACCAGGATCTTACATTTCAAGTTTCAACAAAATCAGATAACAAGCGGCTGCCATGCAAGATACGCCCACATTTTGCAAGAGATGGACAGAGAACAAGCTCAAAAAAAGAAGTGATTTTTCGTACAATCAAGGGCCATAATTCAGGAAGTTACAATCCGATATGCATGAATATTGAAAGGAGCCACCAAGATCTTAGGGTTATAAACATGTATTTCAAGTTTCATCAAAATCGGATCAAAATTGTGTGCTCTCTCTAGAGGGTCCAAAACCTTGATATACCAAATATTTACAATATTTGCGTACGAGGGGCAGCCATTTTGTCCGGCAGTTTTGGTCCGATTTGGACGAAATTCTGACTCAACCATCATAAGGGTATAATAGTGATATATTCAAACATTTTTTTAAATCGGATAAAAATTATGACCTCTATAGGGTCCACAAGCTAAAAATGCGATTTTTTGTACAATCAGGGGCCATAATTCAGGAAGTTACGGTCCGATATGTGTGAATATCGAAAGGAACCAAGATCTTTGGGTTATAAACTTACATTTCAAGTTTCAACAAAATCGGATAAAAATTGTGACCTCTATAAGGTCCACAACTTTGATATACCATATTTTTACGCTATTTGAGAACGAACGGCGGCCATTTTGTCTGTCAATTTTGGGCCGATTTTCACGAAATTCGAACTCAGTCGTCCTTAGGGTGTAACGGTGATATAATAATACGGTTTTTTAAATCGAATAAAAATTATAATACGGTTTTTTAAATCAGATAAAAATTATGACCTCTATAGGGTCCACAAGCTAAAAACGCGATTTTTCGTACAATCAGGGGCCATAATTCAGGAAGTTACAGTCCGATATGCGCGAATATCGAAAGGAAATGAGATCTTTGGGTTATAAACTTACATTTCAAGTTTCAACAAAATCGGATAAAAATTGTGACCTCTATAGGGTCGACAAGCTAAAAGCATGATTTTTTGTACAAACAGGGGCCATAATCCATGAAGTTTCGATCCGATACATGCCAATATTGACAGCAGCCGAGATCTTTTGGGGATAAACCTATATTTCAAGTTTCATCAAAATCGGACAAGAATTGTGACCTGTAGAGAGTCCACAAACAAATTGTGGACGGACGGACAGGGGCGACGACAATATACGTCCACATGAAAATGTGGGCATATAAAAAGCGAGTCTGAGATTTTGTGCGCCTTTTGTTGGGGCATTTATCTTGATCTATCATATTTGCAAAAATTAACATTTGCTAGTGAAAAGACGTTCCGACTCGACAAAATTGGAGTTTTTGGCAAAATTGCGTCACATCCGGTGCCGATAGAAAATTTTACCGGTAATAAAAAAGATAGGTTGCCAGGCAACAAAACATATACGCCCACAGCAGCTAAA